GGAGATTACTTTGCTGCTCCGTTATATATGGCCAAGCCCATCTTAATTTTGCAGCATCTACAGCTGGCATTACCTCTTTGACTTCTGTTTAGTTTCATAATTCATCTGAAGTATGGTTATGAAATGAAAATATGTGCTTGTAATATTCCAATGCTAATTAAGTAATAGCCAGCTTCTTCTCCTGAGGATGTTTTATACCAACGATTGATACATAGATCTCTGACAGTAAAATGATTAAGTCTAACACTCCATGTTTCATCCTTATAAGTGATTCATCAAGCACCAGTGAAATCTTGATTACGGCACTGAAAGTGGACCACTTGATCATATTCATTGTGTGTATTGCAAAGTACAGTTAAAATGTCGTAAATGAACTTCTGGGTAACAAGAATATACAGTCACCCTGTATTCATGAAAGATATAGCCCAAGACCCCCAGTGAATGCCTAAAGCCACAAATGTTGTAGAACCTCAATGTCCTATCTATCTTAACCAAGCATTTATCATGCTCTATGGAAGTACTTTCTGCAGTTTGAGCCATGACAGCAAAACTAGCTCAAATTTATTTTTTCTTTTTATAATTTCATAGATAGAAGATTCATTTGTATTGTGGGTCTTAACAAACTCAGCATGCAGTTTTTTTTGTTTGTTTGTTTTTTGTTTTCATTTTAAGTGGAGAAATTCTACCTTCTCAATTAAAGGAAGCACTGTATGGCTTATCTTCTGCATATTTGAATTTCCAGCATCACAATCCTTATGTGTTAGAGTGTAAATACAATAAGGATTACTGGAAGATAAGCAGTGCATACTGTAACAGTGAATTGGACAATGAAGAAAGACCACTGCTAAGTGCCTAATGGATGGGCAACAGATACAGTGTGGATACACTAGTCAAAGGAGTGGATTGTTTATTTCTGGAATTCTTTATTTAACATTTTTGAACCACAGTTGATTGTAGATAAATGAAACCCCAGAAAGCAAAACTGTGGATAAGGAGGATAATACTTTATATGTGGTATTCTTTAGTTGTCTTTCATCCTATTCAGAGGCTTTTTATTAATATTTCATCAAAATCTACAATATCCAAAATTTAGTTTATATTTCAATGTTATACATAAAAAAAATATTTTCAAAAAAATTATACTTAGAATATGCTTGCAAAGCATTCAAATACTTTCTATTCTGAAATTGTTTTAAAAAATCCCTATGAATAAGTCATGGATTTCAATCTGCAATTTGAAAAAAGCATTTAGCAAGAACATGTAAAAGAAACTTCTAGACTATGCAGAGAAATTTGGGGCAAAGAAAAACAGTGAACGATGGAAGTGGGGATTACTAATGTTATCAAAAGCTAGGTCCTTGTCTCTGATGCCAAGCCAATAACGAGGACATGATTTTGGGAAAAGAGAAAAAGAAGGCTATTGCTTAGCTAGCAAAGGAGAAACACAGGGGACTCCTGAGTGAGGCTGTGATCCTGTCCATCAGCAGGAACAGAGGGCTTTTTAAAGATGTGACTCAAAGGCTACATTTCAGATGGTCTTTGTTGTGGTGGTAATTCACTTGTTAATTTGGGAGGTAGTCTTTTCTGAGATCTGATGATACCATCCCCAAAGTTTAGATTACTTCCTTCCTATGGTGGGTGTGTACTCAAGGACAGATAAATCTGCCTAAAATGGTGAAGAAAGATGATCCTGTTTCCCCTGAGATTAGGGAGAGGGAAAGATGAGGGAAAAGTAGGAAAGAGGAAAAGAAAGGAACATGTCCATTTTACAAATAAGTTCCAGAGCCAGAGCAGCAAGCATAAAGTGAACCATTGTTACACTAAGATTGAAAAATATAATAAGAATTCAACATTGTCTAAATTATAATCTATTAAAAATTTACATTATGAACATGTACTTTTCAATGTGACAGAAACATTAAATATCAGTTTCACACAAGAGGTGTACTATGCCAGATATTATATTTTATTGTTAAGTTTATCTAAATTATTCTGTTTCATTTTCTAACATATTAAAAATATTTATTTACTCATTCATTTATCCAAAATCTTAAAAATGGAGACTTAAAAAAATTTTTTAGGCTTTCCATCTTCATTACTTCTAATAAGAATTAATAAAGAACTAAAATAAACCAGTCACAGCCCTATTCATGGAGACATATCCACAAAACAGAAAAGATACATTCTTCATGTAGAGAAGCTTTTAAGTCACAAACTATATCTGCGGAATATACACTAAATCATCATTATAACACACAAATCTGAAAGGAAAGCTTATTAATTTATCCATAAACTTATTTGTCAAATAACAAGTGGTTACAGTTCAATTCACATCATTGATTTTTCTATTTGTGAATATTTTAATTAAGTATAAAATATTTAGTTTTAAATTCTCTGTCACAGACGGAGAATTTGCTCAAAAAGAGATTAGTTTCATTGTGAAATTAAATATTCTTAGTTTCTTATGACTTTTTTTACATTGAATAAGCATATAGGAATCCATGGTTGTTATGATTTAGATATTAGGTATCCTTCAAAGGCTCATGTGTGAGACAAAGTAAGAGTTCAGAGGTGAAATGACTGCATTATGAAACCCCTAACCCAATCATTGAATTAATCTCCTGATGGGGATTAACTGAGTGGTAGCTGAAGGCAGGCAGGGTCTGGCTGGGTCCCTGAGAACTTGCCTCTGGTGAGCTGAGCTTAGTCTCTCTCTGCTTTCTGATTATCACATGAGCCACCTCCATCTGCTATACTCTTCTGCCATGATATTCTGCCTCACCTCCAGCCCTGAGGAACAGAGCTGGCTGAATATGGACTGAGACCTCTAAAACTTGAGTCTCCATAAACTTTTTTCTGTTCTAAAATAGCATGGATGGTGAAAGGAGACCCTCATCATTATGCAAAATACATGTATGAAGATGTGAATTTGGTGTCAACATACCTTATATTCCATCAGAGATATGATAAATTGTGGAATAAAGGTGTATTAAAATTGTAATGCAAAAATAAATAAATAAATTTTGTTCTTATCAGGTCTTTTAGTCATAGCATTGTAAAGGCTGGCTAAACAATGGTTTAACTACTTAAAAAATCTGATTATAGTAATAAAGATAGTTTACATCTCTGACTGTACCTTTCTCTTATTCAAATGGTGAGAGTGAGATAGAAAAGGCTAGCTAGACAGTGGAGAGTAGGGAAGGGACGGTAAAGGTGGACAAGCAGGTGAGCAAGGACAGCCATTTGAAAAGCCCTGGCATGTTATAAGAGTTCCTGTTTCTCAGAAAGGGTATAAATCTCCATCTTGACAAAAGTGACTGTGACTGCATAATCTGTACTCCAACCCATGTCCACTCAGGACAATCGAAATAGCAAAAACCAAACAAGAGAAGCTTATCAACTTCTCCTGACTTTACTTTAAAAGGAGGAGGGCTCTAAGATTTAAACAGCACTCTTGTTCCTCCCAGGCACACTGGAGTTCTGAATCTTTTTCTCCCTTTTCTTTTTAATAAAATTCCTACTCACTTGCTTACCTCAGTGACATCTGTAGTATTCATTCTTGGACTCTGACTCCATGGAACAGGAACCTGACTCCTGACAGTAACAATACCATCAAAGGCTCTATTTTTTTTTTAACCTTTTATTATTCAATATTTCTTAAAACAGTTATTGTTTTTTAATTATTCCCATTCTTTAGGATTCTACCTCCCCTTTAGCTCTTCTATATTTGTTTTTGTTCATTTGATTCCCATCTACTTTTTAAAAAATTGTTTCTTTTTAGTTATATATTTATTTTTTTTATTTTGAAAAAGAGTCTTGCAAAGTTGTTGAGGGCCTCACTAGATTGCTGAGGCTAGCCTGGAACCTATAATCCTTCTGCCTCAGCCCTCTGAGTTGCTGGGGATTACAGTTTGTGCCACCATGCCCAGCTAGAATAATCAATTTTATCAGCAGTTTCTTAACATTCACTTAAATTTAGATCCAACTTTTAAAAGCAAACTATTGTCTTATCCTTTGCTTATAAGCCTCTTCTTTCTTTTTTTTTCTGTTTTTTTTTTTTGCTTGATCTTTTATGATTTTTATAACTTCGTGTTTTCTTCATATCTTTAAGTCATATTAAGTTATTTCTCCAGAGTGACACAAGATTATTCAGTGAAAACCTTCTAGAAATTTAAATTTTGTTCCAGGAATACTTTAATTACAAATAGAAGATGTTATTCAACAAAAGTCCAAGTGTTATTCTTTTTTTTTTTCCTATTACAAAGCTGTTGAGTTATTTGAAAATTAAAATTATAAACAAAAGAACTCAGTATTGGGGCATTAAGGAGTGCTGAAATTTTAGAATTGGTGCACATCTAACTGAAAATCTATGATGTGACTTAAGTAGAAAAATAATTCCTAGATATTCTTTTAGGCATTATACAGAAGTTTTAGAGTATGTTACCGTTTTGCTAAGAATTTAGAGTAAGAGAAAAGACTTGAAGGCAGACTAATTTCTTTCTTTTTTTTTTTTTTTTTTTTTCTGAGCTACATCTCTAGCCACCTTTATATTTTGTTTTGAGACCGATATTGCTAATTTCCCAGGCTGGCCTTGAATTTGTAATCCTCTTGCCTCAGCCTCCTGATTAGCTGAGATTACAGGAATGTGCCATTGCACATGGCATAGAAAATATATGTTTTATATATATATATATATATAAAATAGGTGTGAATATACACCTATTTTTATTAGCTCTATATATTTTGTTTTTGAAGGAATTATAGCCTGGTGGCTAATAAGCTTCAGATGCTTTCATATTTCAAAATATATACTTAAATGTGCTTAAGGTAAAAGCTGATAACCAAGGTGTAAGTTCCACTGGGCCGTAGGAGCAATGACTATTGGACCTTGTGTAACCTTCACCTCTCAACACCTCCACATGCACAAACACAGAGTCAACCTCTGTCATCAGTTACTCACTCACAACTCTAAATCTAAATTTGGCCCTCAGCAGCTCCACTGAGATTCCCCGGGGAGTCAATTAGAATTACATAGCAACTGCAGGCAAGTGCAACATCTGGACATGGCATTTTACCTAAGTTAGTGACAACTAACTTTGCCCTAGAATCGTCTTTGCTGCTTTTACCACTCTGCTAACAAAGGTAAGGTAAGATATTCAAACAATTAGACTGTGTGGAACTGACCTTTAGTACTGACCATGGAGGTGTTCTCGACATTTGAAAAACAGATGCTATTAAAACTTTAGCACAAATTTAATGTTATGATTTCCCCCATGGTAATTCATATGGATAAACCATCTCAAAACCAAAATAAAAACTATCAAATTTAGTTGGAAAAAAAAATTTTTGCCTTGTCTGTGTCAAATCACAGAAGTTTCACAGCTTAGCAGAGCTCAGCCTATGTTTCAAAGAAATAATAGTAGCCAACTTAATTTTACACATTATTAAGGCTACTTTTGTCTGCTTTAAGTTCACAATCAATTTTTCTGACACATACCTTTAATAATTTAGTGACTTATTTAATAAAATCTTTATATTTTTTGTGTTTATTCTGAAGTAGTTTAACTATGTAAAAATATGGATCTGTGGTTGAGAGAACTACAACTTTCAGTGGGAGAGATAATTATAATAATATATATAGTTTTCCTCAACTTCATCTGTTTCAAATCCAGATTGTAAAGTTGGTGACCACATTGCAAAACACAGTGCTACTATCTTTATTCAAATCTTCCAGTACCCGCTTCTTGATAACTTTCCTCACAATCATTTTGAATATTGCAACATCTTCTTATAGCATTTCAAATCATCTACTTTTGCCTTATTTTTATTTATTGTACCTACGCCAACTATCTGATGTTACTTCTTTTTAGTTATAGGTTATATATTCTCTATCCCCTCCCACTAGAATGTAAACTCAACCTGGCTAAGAATCTCCTGGTGTTCATTCTTTGATAGATCCTCAATGATAGAAACAGTTCCAAAACAGAGTAGGTGTTAAGTGTTTTTAAAAGAATAAATTAAAGATCACTTTCCACAAAGGATTTTACCTAAAATGAGATATGCATGATTTTGAAAGTAGTGAAATGAGAAATAACAGATTAACTGAAAAATATTGCTCTTGAGAGATTTCAGTTTCTTACTGAGTAAGATGGAGTAAGTATCTCTATTCATTCTTTCCCACTGAAGGCAGCTAAAAATTGGGAGAGAATATTTGAAAAAGGCATTTGAGAATTCTGAAAACTAAATGACAACAGGCAAACTTCAGAAAACCAGAAATGAGGGTTCCAACCAGCCCATAGGTAATTTATCAATTTGTCCCTTTCATTATCTCCAGCTTAGATACAAGGTAGCAAAAAATACCCAGAGGTGGGCAACAGCACAGAGCATTAGGAGAAACCCTTCAGTTCTATTTGATGCAAGAAAAATACTCATTATTTTCCAGTGTACCTGGTGCTTTCACCATGATAAATGACATCCTGGGTCATAAAACTAACCTTAATAAGTTTAAAAGAATTGTTATCACACAAAGTGTGCTCTTAAACCATAATGACAACATATGTGAAATCAGTAACAAAATATATTGGAAAAAAAATAGAAATTAATAAAGGCTTACAATAATCCAAAGAGGAAATCTCAAAAGCAATTTGAAAGTATTTTGAACTAAAAAAAAAAAAAAAAATGCCTACTAAAAATGGAACACATCAGGATTTGTAGGATGAGGTGAAAGCGGGGCTTACAACAAACATAAGTATAAAAAGAAGAAATGTATCAAATTAATAGCCTAAGTTTCTACTTCAAGAAACTAGAAAAAAGTAAAATAAGCTCAAAGCAAGCAAAACAAAGGAAATAACAAAATAGTACAGAAATAAATTTAGTAGATGTCTATATGATGCCATTTGTATGATATCCTCAAAAGAAACATTGATAGATCAGTGGTAGCCCCATCATTAGAGGGGAGGGGTGATCTCAAATGAGAAGTACAAGAGGATTAAGGGAGATTATAGATCTTCTTGATTGTGGTGGTGGTTACATAAATCTATTCATATATGAAAACTCATAGAACTGTTCACCAAAAATAACAGGTTTTCTATAGGTTAATTTAAAGATAAAATTTTAAAAATAATATTCTTTGAAACTCTTTGCTAATGTATTCATTCTGCTTGAGAAGAAGTGTGAGAATTTCATAAATGTAAAATGTACTGTTTCTGTGTTCAAATGTCCTCTGTCAGATTGTTAACTTTAGGACCCTTCTGAACTTTCACCCTTTTGAGCTTTGCACTCCCCATCTTTTATAGCAGGGAAAGTGCAAATTTCCATGTGGGGCCATGATGAGCAGCCTTGTTCTAAACAGCATCCTACTGAATGGGATTGTAGCCCAGTCTCCTACTTAAGAAACTGGCTGTAATCTTCTAGATTCATCATAAAACCTTATTTTTAAATCATAGCCAAGCAAAACTACATTTACATTAGGGAATTGCTGTTCTGATATTTTATAAGAAAGTAAAGATGTGAGTGTTTTACCAAATAGCTATTGATAAATCTAAGAGGGCACTGACCACTGTGAAGTTTGTACAGCCATAGGTGTGCTGCAGATAAATGAAATATGTTTCTGCTCTAGGAAGAAATGCAATCTATAATAAATATTTTCATACAAGTGCTTCCCCCATCCCCCAGACATCATTCTAAACCATGATTACTGTAATATAAATATGTGTCTGGGATTGAGAAGAGTTTCTGAATGGATAGGTTAACTGCACCTGCCCTTCTCTGGCTTCACATTTTCAATAGCTTCAAAATATGGGCAACTGCCTATTTTCATTTATTACTACAAGATTTCATTCCTTGACCCTGGAAAGTTCTTAATCTTCAGTGTTATTCATCATAAAGAAAAGCATCCTTTAATCTTGAGGCAAAGCAAATAATTCTTTCAGATGTCTCTCAATAAACCTTTAGGGTTCTCATGTGACTTGAAGAGATGAAAATTACAATAAAGGATTTAGTAACATCAGAGATGAACATGAGAGTTAAATAGTCAACTTCTTATAAATATGGACCGGAAAACTATTTTTAAAAGCTATTTTTACTCACACTGAAACTAAATTTAATGCATATCTGACTGTGTCATAGAATCAGTACATAAAATAAGCTGGTGAAATTAGAGGTTCAATTTTACTTGCTCTAAATTAAATACTTTAACATAGGACTATATTAACAAATAGGAATTTCTACAGATGAATTTCAAAACATTCTATCAGAAAATTAACACCAAAGGATAGGCTCAAACAACAACAATAACAGCAACTAAATCAAAATAATTACCTGTTAATTCCCTGTTTACACATGTGTATCATGGTTTTGGAGACCCTGTAAAACACTGTATTTGGCAAAAGCAGAAAAAGCAATTTTTTCATCTATGTTGTTTGGTAGTTTTTGTGTTACAAGGAGAGAAAGCCCAATTTGAAGTGGATTTTTATTAATTTAAACATAGTGCAGTTTTTTACATGGTAAAAAAGCTCAACAATATTACCATAGGCCAAATTCTGATGCTTCATTTTTCTTTTTACCTGTCCTCAGGCTTTAAAGGATGCCTCTCACCCAAAGTTCTAGACTCACCCTTGATTTGGATCAAAATGACAGCAATAATTCCTTACTTCAGATCTTCATGCCACACAATCTTCTCCCATGGAAGAAATGTCTGTCTCTCCTAGTAACCTTTTTGGGAAAAAAAAAAAATAATGCTTTCCCAGAATTCCTATTAGTTTTTTTGCTTATTAGTTTTTTTTTGCTTATTCATTGCCTTGGTTGAGAGTATAAGCCCATTTCTATGGGGGAATTAAAAAAAAAAAAAAAAACCCTCTGGCCAGAGTCTGGCATTTCTAATTGGCTGGCATCAACACCAACACATGCTTATACTACAGATAGGTTCAAACTACTGAAAAATTTGTTTTAAAAAATAAAAGAAAATATTTTGGAAGATAATCATGTATTTGCATGTTATTTCAGTGACTGATAATATTTTAGATGATTTTACCTTCCTTAGAATTTACGACCGTTATATAACAGAAAAAATCAAGTGTTTTTCAAGAACAATGTAGTTTATCTTCAAATCTTTTATCCTAAATATTTTATTATATACATATCAATATTAAAAGCCTAATTAAATATTTTGAATGAACTTTTTGAAAGATGTGGCTATACAAAAATTTTTACAGTTTATTTTAAAAAACATAATTTTAAAATTTAATTAATTAATCAAATATTTATTGAACAGCTACTAGGTATCACCTGCTACTATGAATGCTATGGTGATAAACAAAATATCCCTGTACTTATACAGCCTCTATTCTTATGGCAAACTTCTATTCAAGTGTATAATATTTTGTCACCATAGTTATCATTTATTCAAACATTTAAAATTATGAAAAGCTTATTATAGAAAGCTGATCATTTAATACATTTCTAATTTTGTTAGCAAATTTTCCTTATTAATCCTCTGAATTTTATTTATTATTTTTTAACAAATAATTTTGTAGATCATGAGTTAAATATTCTGCCAACCCCTAAGAACAAAAAGGTGAGCAAATAAACAATGTCCCTCTCTTGTAATTATGAGTCAAGAGAAAATTCATATTTCAAGGCTAAATGTTGTCAATTTTATTTCTTAAAATAGTAACTTCAAAATTTTCAGAAAGTAATTGAAATTCTGAAAAACTGAAATCGCTATGTTAAAGAAAGTATAAGTAGATGTGCAGACAAACTTTATATGTAAATTGATATATATATAATAAAAATACACATGCAGATTCACAGCCTGGGGATCACTTTTACATCGAGTTGCTTCAACTGTTCACAAACAAGCTCCTCCCTCCTTTCCACAAATCTCTGTGTATCCATATGTAGCACATATGGCAGCAGAGGTGGGAGGACAAACATTGGCATCCATACCTCTTACAGAAGAAATTCCAAAGGGGGAAGTCTCTTGCATGGACTCTTTCTAAGAAGAAGCAATTGTTGAAACAAAAATCTAAAACCAGATTTTTTTTTTCTTTGCACATGACTTTGAAATTTGGGGGGAAAAAATCCACTTCAATCCCATTAGTTGATGCAGTTCAGGGGGACAAAAGTATGCAAGTTTTGTGAAG